CTGACAGTCTTATTGTCACAGGTCGGCTAGAACTATGAGGTGAGTGAAAAGCACTCATCTCATAGTTCTCCTTTAACCTTGTCATCTTCCTGACCTCGCACAGCGTCTTCCAACTCCTTTACTGAGGACTTAGTTAATTGACCCTGTTATGTACTCTTAGCAGCCGGGAGACAGTGTGTGATCGCAGGCAGTTAAGACGCCAGCCGTTGTCAGACTTCAGTTGACTCTAAAGTGTCGGGCTCACAAAATGAAATAAAGAAGTAATTAAATGTGAACTCCGACCTACCCTTCTTGCACAGTTGTACGGGCTCCTCTACTGGACTGACCGATGTTTTTACTATCCAAAAAAAAAGTCGCCCTAGGGAAGAAAGTGTGTTAGGGCTACAAAACATTGCTCCTCTACTCTTCCCTATACCATAAGTGGAAGGTGTTCTGAAGTTAACTAAACTGGTAATGCTCGAGGTAACACAGCAAAGGGCACAGGACCGCAGTGGATTTCTGGCAGGATCAAAGGTATGTTTTGCATTTGTATAAGAGACGTAACAAAAGGCTTTAAGGCTAGGTTCACACCTGGACGACTCCTGACCATGCACCAATTATGCACAAAACCGTGTAGATTGCCGCACGGTCACTGAGTCGCCCACCACAGTTGATCGTGCCGAAGGTGATATATTTTTTAATGGCTCCCGGCAGATCGCACGGCTTCCCGCCGCGATTCTGCCCGTGCATTTGAACACAATCTCGGCCAAACGTTGTGTGTCGCGATAAAAGGTACTTGTACCTTTTTTTAGCGATTGCCGCACGGATGTAACCCCATTGAAATTATTGGGGCAACGCGGCAACCGCTGTGGGCACTAGCACGTGATCTCGCGGTTCCGAGACACGCGTCCCAGGTGTCTCTTAGGTCTGAACCGAGCCTCAGTGGTTTATTAAACAGACCAAAAGGGGGCAAATAAGAGAAGTTCTTTGTTAGGGTTTACGTACACTTCAAGTCTCTGCACACTGCTATACTGGCTTATATATTTCTAGCATACCTACCCATACTTCCACCCTGCCGGGCACCTTTTATGTCATATATTGGAATGTATTTGTATGTTATACAGTAATCATGTTGGTTCTGTTTGAAGCGAGCGCAGGAAGATTGCTGCGATAAAATGCTGTTTTTCCCCGTGCCTGCCTTGTGCAGTAAGTGCGCCTCTATATTTAGCTCTGTACAAGCACAATGTACTGACAGCTCCTCGGGAGACATTAAAAGACGCCCCTGTCACCTCGGCAGCACGTGGGGCAATCTCGGGGCGACAACTTGTGTGCTGACCCTCCCAATCCTGCGGTGGCGGACGCGACACCGGTCTACCAATAACAGCCAGCTAAAATGACAAAGCTTCATCTGCTTTCTCCCTAAACATCCAGATTAAAGGAGACTTGTACTGAGATATACTGTATGTAGGCTGCCGTTCTTTATAGGTCACTGGCCCACAACCTGACCATTAGGTCAGGTGTGCAGCTTCTGGCTGCATTTCTCAAGCTGGAGAGCCAAAGTTTAGCTGCCCCTGCAAGGGTAGGCAAACTTTGACCCTCTGGCTGCAGTTAAACTACAAGTCCCATGAGGCATTGCAAGACTGGCCGCTACAGGCATGACTCCCAGAGGCAGATGCATGACAGGATTTGTAGTTTCATCATAGCTGGGGGCCAAAGTTTAGCTACCCCTTCTTTATACCAAAGGTAGGCAAACTCTGTCCCTCTGGCTGTGTTAAAACTACAAATCCCATGAGGCATTGCAAACCCTGGCAGCTACAGGCATGACTCCCAGAGGCAGATGCATGATGGGATTTGCAGTTTCATCACAGCTGGATGGCCATAGTTTAGCTGCCCCTGCTCTATACCAAAGGTAGGAAAACTTTGGCCCTCTGGCTGTGGTGAAACTACAATTCCCATGAGGCTTTGCAGGACCCTGACACCTACAGGCATGACAGGATTTGTAGTTTCATCACAGCTAGAGGGCCAAAGTTTGCCTACCCCTGCTCTATAGGTTTTTTTAATTATAGTGGAATGGTGCAAAAGAAAGAAGGCCGGGTCTAGCAGAACTGAGAAGTCTGTAAATTTTTGAGATGCGCCTGACTTCTTCCCAGAATGGTTTGTGGATGATTTCCTCCCCTCCACCCACCTGTTTGCCCCCTCTCCAAAGTCAGATCATCCACAAGGTGACCAATCCAGAAGCCTAAGGTATGGTGGATATCCAGGGGCCCAGCTACAAGCTTCATGCTCCTGCAATATACCAGTGGGATAGTGCAATTGGTCAAAGACGTATACCTGTCTGTATCTTCACAAGGGAGAATAAATAAACTTGGAGCAGTTGAGCTCTGATGGGGTCATAACGTATCTCCAGGGTCTTGCCCATCACCACAGGTTCAGTATTGATAGGAACATGTGGCGCAGTACTTGTGGTGTTGAGGGCCGTGTTTAATCTCATGAATCCCCCCCTCCACCCTTGTTGATGGTCAATATAAACTTAGACGCTGGATTTAGCTTGGGTGGGGGGAATCTCCCTTGCTGGCTATTGTATTCTGACAGATAGATGCGTGGCTGCAGTCACTTGTCACCCAACAACGTTTGGCCGGCTCCTTAAATAAAAGACAATTGAAAAATTGGATTTTGTTGAACAGAGTGGTGCCGGTGTTCTATCGAAAGCTCCAACTCATCGAGACTTCTAACTACCTCACTTCTGGTGCTCAGAAAGACTGGAGCTCTGTACAGTTGCGGTGCGCATAGCGTTTTCAGAATACTCGTCGGGTTTGCCACCTGCTGAATATCGTTAAAATGCAGCTGTACAGAGCTCCGTCAGTCTTTGCGCTTTGCAGTCTAACTCCGTCTGGTCGAAATCTCCAACTTGCAAGTACCCGGCGTGTGAGGTAGCTGAAGATTTTGACGAGTTGGAGCTTTTCGATAGAACACCGGCAGGACCACATGCACACAGTCTGAACTCCTACCAAGTCAGTAGAACTTGGCTGCAATTTGAGCATTGCATGGCCAGCTTAAAGCGTACCCCTGACTAGTTCTTCCGAATGCATTCAGATTCCAAGATCAGGGCTCACAGACACATAGGAAACCAAGACAAGTCCATTGATAGATAACACTCATCCATATACAGTATACGATATGTAGACGACTGATCTTATGGGTAAGCCCTCACGGGCAGGGCCCTCCTTACAATCTTGTCTTGAATTGTATTGTGATTGTGATGTCTTCCTTATATTGTAAAGCGCTGCACAAACTATTGGCGCTATATAAATCCTGTATAATAATAATAATGGGTATATTGCTTACTAACCCCCC